TTATTTTTTTTTTTTTTTTTGTCCTTTACTTTTCTGAAGAACATAAAGACCCTTTGTGTAATGCTGCTGTATGTCAACTCTTGTGGCTTAAAATGGCTATCATTCAGTTCATGTATTGTGACTGATACATAAAATAATCATGCAAGTGTTGTTTCACTGATTGCATAGCTTCGGTAAATTCTAGCTTGTTAGCTGGTTAAATGGTGCCTTTTAGAAGCAGTGCTTCTTACAGAGAAGTCCGTTCACTGCACTAAGCACTATTTCTGTATGGGGAGCTATTAAATATGAATGAAGTCCTGCGATTGTCTGACCACAGAACCTTAGGAGGAGCCAGTCATAGCTTTTTCTCAAAGACATCAGTTGTCTTGGTAGTCAGCTAGGATAAACAAGTTATGTTTGCAAGCCGAAGCAGCAGCACAAGGAGATGCAAGAACACAGTGAACTGGGAAATGGAAATAGATTAAGTTTAATCCTTTTATCCAAAAATATTGTTTCTGATCATCCCCCTCCTAATATAATTTATTATTTGTAAATAAAATAATATCATAACTAATTAACTAGAGGAATTGAGTAGAGGGAAATTTGGGATGGTTATTTTGATGAATACTCTGCTTTCTCTAATACCCTCTTTCAAATATGCTGTAAGAGTATTCATAAGAATATTTTATAAAGCTACATGGATTTTTTTGAAAGAAATGTATTATATAAAATATGAGGTTTGATCTAACATTTATTCATATAAAATCTACTGGGACATCAAGGGAAAGGGAAGGAACAGATGAAGTTTGTGTATGTCCAGAAATCTCAGACTTTTGGTTTCAAGTCCATGGGTGATAATGCCTCTGGTATCACTGATGAATCTCTTCAGGTAATAATCAGCTACTGAATTTGGGAAAATATGCAGACCAATGTCAAATTAAGACTTACAATGCAAGCTTGAAATGTTTGTTACAATTAATCTGTAACATTGTTTTGATCACTAATTAAAGGGAAAACTTTCTGAAGCAGAATCCTAGGCTTTAACTGCAGAGCAAAAATCAGAGTTGTGTTGACATTATCTGCTAAAAAACTGATAATAAAAGCCACGTGTGCTTATGAGAATCGTCCTCGGCATACAGTTTGATGGAACTCCTTTTATGAGTCGTTAGTTGCTGTCCTGTAAGATACAGCCTGGGTTACTAATTCAGCAGTTTCATTTTCAATGTCCTTACAATCTCCCTCCCACTAATCAGGCACAATCAGCCTGCAGCATGCCAGAGAAGCAGTGCAGCTCTCATGGGTGTTCCCAAGAAGACACAGCAGTCAGTTGTGGGAAAAACTGTGGACCCCGCTTCCAAGAAACTAAAAGGAATGACAAAGTTGAAAAAGTAGTATCTAAAAAATACAGCTGAAATCCAACATTAAAGGCTTTTATGGCCAAACTTTTGATATATGATATAGGAGAAGGAATATCTAAGTACATACACTTTAATGAATATCTGAATAATTCCTTTTTACATTAAATAATATTACATTAATTTTTATGATCTCCAGGAATGTATTGACAACATTGAAATACGCTTTCCAACAATGTAGCAGGAACCTAGGCCATGGTAAACTCATAGCATTTGAAAAGTCTGCTGGTGTTCCTAACAGGCAGTCCTTTGTGTATCAATGTGATGCTCTATACTATTCTGATTTTTGTTTGGCACTTTGGCATTACTGATTGTGCAAGTTTAAAAAAATCCTTTTGGCAGCTCATAAAAATAAATAGATTGATTCATTCCTTTTCCTTTTTATGCATTTTTTTTCTTGATCTGCAAATTAAACCTTCTTGAAGATTTCAATGACAGATTTCAATGACTGTGGTTTGCTTTTGTTGAATATGTCTAACTAAATTTAACTCAATTCACTTTTGGTTTCAGCTGTTAATCCTAGATACATACTTAGGAACTGGATGGCAGAATCAGCAGTGCAAAAAGCTAATTTGAATGATTTCTCAGAGGTAAAATTATTTCTTTCTTTCTTGGCATATTTATTAATATTTGGCATAATTGTTAATGAAAGAGTTGTTGCATTTACACTTTGAACCTGTATTACATTTTGACCAACATTGTACTATCTAATACCAATTACTATTAAAAATATTAGCAAAACTATTAATAGGATTAATTATAACATAAATAGTAGTGACTGTATTAATAGGAGGACTAATAATAGTAAGCAACTCATGGAATAGTTTCTGGAGCCAGGGCGGTGCATAATATGAAGTGGCAGAGACTTTTTCTTGTTTGCAGGAAAATATTTTGTATAAAAACTTACCCATTTTAATTGCTTCCAGGTTCATCTCCTACAACAGATTCTACAACATCCCTTTCGGAGACAGCAGGCTGCAGAGAAAGCAGGCTACTCCCTGCGCCCCCCAGCTTGGGCCAAGGATCTTAAAGTAAGCTGCTCATCCTGAGAGAAATTTGAACAAGCAAGAAAAACGATCAAGGTCGAAGCTCAGGCCTTCAAATGGGATTAATGGATCAAGCCACAGGAGCTTCTCTCCCTTATACTTTGTGGACTGGAATCTGCTACTCTGCTAGGCAAAACAAGGTCTTGACTAACTTTATAAAGTCTAAAGATTAAAGAAATGGACCACTATGTACGGTTGCATCAGCAAGTTATATTGGCGTTTATAACTCTGCCCTTCATACTCAGCTATGCATTAATTTTAGTCCCAATATTTAAGTTCTGCCAAACTGTCACGCTTAACCTCTCAGAATTCATGGCTGATCAGGTGGGTCTCAATAACTTTTAATGGCTGGGCGATTTAAAATCCATCTAAGCTCGTTTTAATCATACAGTATTTTGATGAATGTTCTTCTTGCTGTTACACGCTCTTCAAATATAATTGTATTCTGAAGACTTAAATGTTCTTACGTCTTTTGCAGAGTTGGAACAGAGGATCATCGTACACTTAGACCTTGCCACCTTTTCTCGTTTTGACCTTGTTTTGTCCCATTAAACTGCCAACAAAGATTTAAAGGAAATTCAGTTAAATAGTGAGCAAAGATGTCTGTCTTGGGAGTGACTTGCCCATAAATAAATTTTGGTGTCTTTGCTGGTGTCAGGTGCCTATCACGCCTGGCCCACTGCTCTGTGAAAGTGTATCTTTTGATAGTAGTAGAAAGAGTGCTGGTGCATGGATATAACGCCTCAGGAAATTTTCCCTGGTTGGACATGGAAAAGGACTTTCTTGGAAGCATCTCACTGCATGTGTAGTCAGGTCAATATACCTTTTGTATCCAGCCACCTGATGCTGTAAGGGACTACAAAAGTCTCGCAAGGAAAGTATTTAAAATTCAGCTGAAGCTGTTACACAGAAGTCCTTTGAGTAACAGAGAGAGACTAGTCTTTGAGTCCTGGGTCTTGTTATTTGTCCTTGTTTGATACTCCAGTTCCACATCACAAAACTTAGTGTATAATTAAGCCAAAACTAATACATAAGCAATCAGGTCCAATGTTATGCTAGAAAATTTACAACAAAAATCACTTATTTGCAGGCTTTGTTACTTCTTGCCATTACCTTGTCTCTTTCCAAATCCAAAATGGATTGGTTTAGGATCTCCAGATTTCTTCAGTGCCACTTGATTCTGAAATAGAGGCTATTAAGTGATATAATTAACATTTCATAAATCTATTTCTAGAAATATAATCAGTGTAGAAAAAAATCTATATTATTAGAAATCTTTCGGTAACTAAAAAATATTTGAATGCCTTTACTTCTTACCTATAATCAACACGATTATTCAGGATGGTTTCCCCTCAGATATACAGCTGTTCAAATATAAATACGGTTGTTCAAATGTAAATATTAGTACCATAACGTGAGGAACAATATAGATATTTAACTACAGTTTTCGGAAAGTCCAGTCTGAAGTTCAAGCAACTTACACAAGTTCAGCCTGGGTTAACATTCCTTGTGCAGGTAGAAGTGCAACCCTTGGGATTAGTGTTTGAGCTGGCAACACCTCCAGGTGAGAGGAGAGGGCGGCTGGGGTACCCGTAACAGCCCCTCAGCTGCGGGCCACGTCCCCAGCCTATTGAAACATGGGCATCGATGTCTCTTCTTGGATAATTACAAGCAAAATAGCATGTTGTGACGCAATGTGTGAACATCAGCTGCAGTGGAATGAAGTACACTGCAAATAAGTGATGAGTTGAAGATGAACATATTTGTGCCCAGAGGGTAAATAGAGAAGCACTGCAGCTTGGGGCCTGGTTTCCAATTAGGTGAAAAGAAAGAACGCTAATTTACGTTGGACCGAACAGCGGTAAGCTTCTTTTGTGTGGGGGCCAAACACGTCTGCCTGTACATCCTTACCTCATGGAGTAATTGCATAAATACAAAGCATTTTTATACTGCTTTTTTTCTTCAAAGTGTTTTATAAATGTTAAAACCTATTAGTAACAGTAGCAAGCGGGCCTCTGCTTCACCCTTAGTTGCAGGTAAAGAAACCCTTCAGAATCACGGTATAACAACAGACCATCCCCAACGGGAGCTGTTGTACAAGCAGGGATTTGTACCGCCCGCTGTGCCCATGGTGAGGCTTTCTCAGGTTCTTGAAAAAACATCTGTAAGAATGAAGCAAGCCCTGAAAACTGGTTTCACGTAGTCCTCTGGATACGGAGCGTATGTCAGCTACTTCTCTTCTCCGGTTCATTCATTCATGGACTCAGTCATGTCCTCTTTCCTTCATCTATGGGAAAACAAATCTGTTATTTTTTGTCCCTAGTTTTACCATGCGGTTTACGTCACCTGTTTTTAGTAACTATTCTGATTTCATAATAGCACTGACTGTTAATGGCGATCAAGCTGCCTTAGAATATTCCGCAAGACCCTAAGAATTCCTAGAGTCTTAACGATACCGAACCTCTTCCGTTGTGCGTTTCTCCCTCAAACGGAACGTGCGTGTGTCCCAGTCACGGTGAGACTGTCAATGATAACCCATAAATAACAGTTCTGTCCTGTAGTTTTGCCACATGATCCAGTTAAGTTTCTACTTTTCCACCCGCAAGGTGCCTGACAAAGAGTGCGTGAAAAACACATGAAGAATACAGTGATCTCAACACTGCCTTTTAACCGTGTTTTGTAAAAGTAGAGAAATGAGCCCACATTGTGCTCAGCATTTTGTACCACCTCCCTTTCCGCTTCTAGATTTTAATCATCAGGGTTTAGTATGACAATGTAAGCATTAATACTGTGTTTCATGGTGTATTTCCTAAAATCCTTGGCCTCCACCTGCAATTCTGGAGCTGCCTTTTCCTTCACAGTACATAAACACAGCAGTGACACAAGAGCGGATGGGGAATAAAAATTCTGTGGCTGGTAATCAAAGAGGTGCTAATTTGTGCTGCTGTTCTCTTTCTGCAGCAGAGGACAGTTGCGAGGGTCAGCAGTGGTGATCCCCCACATGGGGACTTTTCCACGTGACTCCACCTTGCTAACCCCAAGGACTGATGGAAAACGGGTCACTTGCAGTGGCTCCTTCTGCCGTGTCAGTGATGTCAGAGCCCAAAGAAGACGACAGCTGCCGAGACGGCTTCCATCTGAGGTATGGAGAGAGGTTAAAAATAACATGCTGCCATTTCAGATCTTTTCAGGCTAAAATACTGTAATCTCTAGTAACGTACATACTACCACAATCTACAGGAGTAAGACAAATTCATATGGCAATAGGTTAGAGGTGGAAGGATTAATTTCTATTTTTTACAGATGCTTTGATTTACAGTCTCGGAAAGGAAGATCTCTTTTTTTATTTTGCAGCATCTTTTTTGTACCAAATAAAGCCAGATAATTGTGTATCATTAAGATGGTAGCTCTGTTCTTTGAATGGAGAGTTTGAATACTTACATTGCAGAAATTCAATGCAACCACGTACATACACAAAATAGTTGATAGAGGTCTAATCATCACAGCATTTTAATTGATTTCTGGAGTTTTCTGTAGGCTTTGATTCTTTTTGTTTTGAAGAAAGCTCAACTTTTTCTTTTGTGTAAGATTAAGCGCATGAGTTATGATTGACTGCAGATGTAAAATGTATAAAATTGAGTTTATTGTGCTGTAACAAAAGAGAAGGGAGGAAATGGGGCAGGAGGCTGAGCGTTCTGGTGAGAAGCGTGAATGCTAGGAAGGCCATGCAGAAGCCTTAGTGCTTTGTGAATTCAGGGAAATTAGCTTATTGTGCGACATTTTTCTAAGGACATGTTCTGCTTTATTTTTGATGCTGGGTGTATACTTCATAAAAGAAAATTCATTTGGTTTAGAAATACTTGGATAGCAGACAGCTGTTGTCACCTAAGTGTCTTGAAGATGTGCACTCCCAATACCTTGTCAGAAAACGACACCCAGCTCTTTAGCATTCAATGATTTGAATAATGCTTACATCGGTTACATATGGAAAGCAATTGGGAAATATTAATCCCCTTTTTTTTTTAACCCACCTACTTTTAGCTGGTTAGCATTTTTCCTCCTGCACTTGGAACTAAAGCTTGTACTAAGCTTATGAGCCTTGCAGGGGTCTCGAGAGCGTGTCTCAGTTTGGCTGTTTAGAGATGATGAGACATCTTTTGAATGCTCTAGTATGTCGATTCAAAACTTCTACGTAACACGTGTGGGTTTGGTGAACATAGTTCTCTTGGTGAGAGCTTTTTGCTCAGTTCAGTGAAAGCACGGGAGCTAGAAGACCACTAAGAGTTGCATGGGCTCTGTCTGTATTGGTAAGTAAGAGGGCCAGGAACGAGTCCCTTGGCCCCTGAACTGGTACCCTATTTGGCCATATCTGCACCACAGGGGAGCGAAGCCTGCTTTTAAACTTGTCCATGTTGTCTTTTGGGAACAGTGCCTGGCCTGGGCAGTTTCTTGAATGATGCCTGGGACTGTGCTTAGGCCCAGTCGGGCAGTATGGGTGAGCACTAGGCCACTGCTCAAGCTTGCATTCTCGTCCTCTTTTATTTAGTAGTAGGGACACAGGTGTACAAGCTGTAGCTTCTTGCTTAGCAGTGCTAGCTCCCCAGCCATAGGCTGCAGAGCAAAGAAATGGGTAACAGCACTCGTAGGACATCTCCTCATCCCCATACCCCTGATGCGAGCTTTACTTACTCTCCCAATGCTTACATGCTGACAAACCAAAGGAGGGAGGAAACAGGGAGTGGCTGTCCCATGACTACACCTGAGTAACCCTGGGGATGGGCATGATTACTGCAGGAAAAACATTCCTTAGCTTCAGCTCGTCTTGAGTGAAAAGTTTAAGTTTTCATAGTTTCAACAGATTAAGTTGCGGGATGTCGCATAAACTTTTTTTTTAGTGACTCATCTGGCACTTCCCTGGCTGAAACATCCCTGTTCTGAAACACCTTCTGCACATCCCCAAGTTCCTCTTGTGCCCATCGCCACCCTCTGCGCCAGCTCCTTCCATGCCTGTCCTTTCGCTCCCACTGCTTTGACCAGGTACTGCCCGCCCCTCCTAGTGCCAACGCAGGCACGTTTTGCCTTGCATTGCTCCCACTTGTCAGGGGTCTGGCCCCCCATCCTGAGTGCTCCTGCCTGGCCTGTCCTTTATCATAGCAAAGTTCTGGTCTTTGCTGTCTTGTGGAGGAACGTGCTCGTGCAGCCACCGAAGCGTGCAGATATAGCAGGAACCATCTGAGCAAATGAGAGAGGGGCCAGCCAGCACTGCTGTCTGTACTTGGATAAAATACAGAAATATATTATTTATGGATCTTAGAAGATCACGTGCATGAGAAGAGACAAAAGACTGGAAGAAATAAAAATAAAGAATTTAAAAGGTAGAGGCAAAAACTCTTTAACATACTTGAAGTGGTACCAATTGCCAGTGAAATGCCTGTTCATTAACTGTGACACTCTGTGCAGATATAAAATAGAAGCTATTTTCATTTCGCAACTAATAATGCTGCCTAAATGAACAACGGAGAATTAAAATGGGAGAACAAATGAAAAAAAATGTAGGAGAGATTCATCTCAGGTACAAAGGAATTATGAAGTCTTTCAGAAGACAGACTATTTCTAGGTGCAGTTTGAAGACAAATGTTCACCAACAGAAAAAAAATCCACGTGTACCAAGGGAAGCATACAACATTTTGAAATGAAAATTTTTCTTTGTCTAAGATTAAACAAATAAACAAGATTTAAAGGCAGCAGCTGTGAGTGCTGACAGGTATGACCGGAGTTGCGTATGGAAACAGGACTGTGTAACATTTGGGGTGACTTACGGGAGCAGCAGCTGCCTGAGCATTCACACACCATCCAGGGAGTTGCACGCACACCACCCGAGACTTTAACTGCTCGGACCAGCGTCCCTTCGCAGCGGGCGGGGGCCCCTTTTCGACTCCTCGCTCACACACACTCACCCCCGGGTGCTCCCTCTCCCTTCAGGCTCGACGCTAGGTTTCCCCGAAGCAGAGTCTCCGACACGACGTACGCCAGGTGAATTTATTGAGCGGTACAGCGGTGAAGAGCAGCTCGAGCTGGGTGCCTCCAGAGAGGGACCTCAAACAAAGGAATCCCTGGGCATTTATACCCTTACAGTCTAAGTTCCCCTCCCCTCATGCGACGGTTCGGTCCAATAGTGATATTTGGGTCTGGGTCTTCTTGTTCCTTACTGGATCCTTTTCCTGTCTCCAGGCAGGACATTCCTTTTCTTATCTTTATTGGATCCTTTCCCAGTCTCCAGGCAGGTCATTGTTTTTCCTATCTTGATTAGCTGCAGCTTCTGCCGATGGTTTCGGCTCCCTTATCTTCCTGGTTTGCACCGGTTTCGGGGCCTTCCTTCACGTAGCTAAGTAAGAGTTCAGCGTACGGTCAGGGTATCTAGATGGAAGTTCACAGCTTGCAGTCTAAGGTTCCAACAGGCCTCGCGCCTGCCGTTAGGTATTGGATTCTATTTGAGCTAGAAAGTGACTTCTACAACGTGAGACTCTGGAAAGGGCCCTGGTCCTGCCTTGCATCTCAGAATAATCTAGCTGAAGTTTTACTATTTTTGAATAGTAACCGCAACAGTAACAGTAGGCTATTTTTGAAAAACACAAAAAAAGGGGTCCTTTTATTAAAAAAAAAAACAAACCCCACAATTTGGGGGTTTCTGATAAAGAATCTTTAAGCAGAATTCTGAGAAAAGGGAACTCTGAAGGAGAATTCCTCCTGGTGGAGCCTGATCCAGCACGACCTGCCATGATGCACAAAACCAGCTATGACTTAAAGTCCACCTGCTCCCAGAGTTCAGGAGCTGCTGCCCCTTTTCTTCTCAAGAGCTTTCATTAGGTCAGACATGAAATCTGCTTGCCTGCCTCCACCCCCAATCGGAGGTGGCCCAGCTGACTGTGGCTCTCCAGCTTGTCCTGTGTTTTCTGGCCTTTTTGAAGGAAGTGGCACAGGTTTCTTTGTCGGAGGTGGTGGCTTATTGGAGAGAGGTGGAGGTGGAGGGGGTAATGGCAGGTCTCCATTACCGCTGCTGGAGGCTGGTGGTGGTGGAGGCACAAAATCAGGAGGAGGTTCGCAGAAATCAGATGGTGGTGGTGGAAAATCAATCTTCAATGTAGGTGGCGGAGCTGGAAAGCTGTCTGGATCTGTTAGGAAAATGCCGCTGTCTCGTTTGACTTTGGAGGGTAGAATTGGTGAAACAGAAATAGCAGATGACCGCCTTTCAGGTGGAGGAGGAGGCTGCAGTGAGTTCCTCTTACTCTGGTATTTCTGTGGCCTCATCACTGACTGTGCCAGGCCAGGCGCACTGATGTTATTTGACTTAGCCTTTAATAAGCAGAAGAAATAAAAAGACAGGACACAGTCAGTGCACACGTAAACTAATGCCACTGCTGAAGAACAGTGAAAAGATGTGAAAATATATGGGAAGAGTGCAGCAGACAGACAGTGAAATGAAGCAGAGTACATTTTGCCTGAAGAGTGCAAATAGTATTTTGTTTTCTTTCTGGAGCTGCCCACAGAGCTTTGACAGTGGAAATATCGCTGTTGACAGTGTTCATAGTGCTGCTTCTAGTGCTGTCCTCAGAAAATGAGCGCTTTTAAAATTCCAAAGAATTGCAGTTAGCAAGACATATAAAGATACTTTGATGTTCCACCCTGCTGTTCATTCCCTGAGAACATGAAGACTTAAAAAAAAAAATCTGTGCTGTGTTTTTACATCAAAAAATACTGAACAAGATTTGAGAACATAAAAAGCAGATGTAGTTTTGGCTCTCGTCCCCATTGTATCTCTGTCTTCCATTCTAGCTATGACTGCTGGATCTCTGGATAAAGCTAAAATAATGAAGTCACCTGTCTCTGCCAAACTCATTAGACACAACAGCAGTGAGCCGGGAAGAAGGTGGAAAGATTTGGGAATTTAAAGGTTACGTGTCTAGATTCACTGTCCCCAGCACTCCGCAGCATGGCGTGACATGCATTCACCCGCAGGGTAGCGCGCCGGGCCCCCTCTGCGCGGGAGGGAGAGCACTGCAAAGCACTGGGAAGGGAGGCTCTGGGGAAAGCCGTCTGTCACGGCTCTGTGCGGTGCACAGCAGGGGAAAGACGCTGCACCGGTGACCTGGCAAGGGACGCTGATGAGCCTGGGGAAGGGTGTCTTCTGCCTGCTGGGCAAGGCACATGCACACGCCTCCTCTGCTTTCGAATCAATGGTGTGACAAACAGGTCCTTGAAGCCACCAAGTCCTAGCGGTGTCTGCAAGGTCATGAGAGGTTCAAATCCTCTGACAACTTTTTTGAAGGAAAAATTAATCAAAGCATCCATCATACAAGTTAAGAAAAACAAAATGTAGGATAGCAGTTCATTATGGACATGTTTACTTTGGCTATATTTTAGGTGACTTTTCTTTTAAATTGTGTTTGCTAGTCAACACTGAAGATAAATAAAGCCCATTTGGTGATATCTGAATATAATTTGCCCTTCTTTTTTTTTTTTCAGGTAGCAACTGGTAGCTGTTGACAATTACTACACAAACATGCTATCTATTCTTGTAAACCTGTGGAGAAGTCTGCTGTCCTGAAAACAAAGCTTTGTAACACGTTCATTTCCAGTTATGCTAATTTATCAGTTTATATCCAGCTAGCTTAGCGCTCCAACTGTAGCACAGTGCACCCTGAAAGACTTCAGCTTGATCCTTTCGTCCCAGGCTTGTAGAAGCTGTAAGATGAAGGCGGCAACGTGTTTGCTTCTGCTAGAGAAAAGTGCTCTGCAGCCCTGCAGTCAGCAGTACTAATTCTGGCGTTAGCGAAGTATAACATGTTTGCCTTCTCCACCCTCCTTGCCTACAAAGATGGACGTGAACAAGACATAGCAGGAGGGAACCACTGGCTGAGTTCTGAGAACGTGATCGATTCCAGAGGAAGTGAGGTTCAGAACAGAGAAACAGACCTTTTTAAAGAAGGAACTCAAAGACAGAAACAAGAAGCATAGGACATGTAATGCAGGTGACAGAAAAATCCTAGGAATTTAATTTCTCTTGTCCTGTGCACTTTATGCATAATGGAGGGATTGAATAATGAACTGCAAACCAATGCAGGGTTTTTTTCTGTAGGATGATTTTGAAGCCCTCATACTGTACCCTGCTGATATTTTTACAGCCAGAGATGGAACAAGTAGATAAAATTTGGAGCTTAACCAAGGAATGCATTTAGAGCCTCATGAAAACATGTAATGTTTTCCCTTACTTCTTCACACTTTTTCCTTTCTTACACACTCATCTTGAGCTGTACACAGTGCTCCCTGCCAAAACCACTACTGTATCCTTTGCGTTACTAAGGCAAGACCCGTTTTCTGGCAGAGACAGAAAACGGCACTGAGTTTCTGGCAGCACAGACTCTTTGAGACTGTCCCAGGAGGCACATTCCTATTTCTGCTACTTGAACTCACACCTATTTGTTCTGAAGAATGAAAGTGGCAGACGGCTGTGCCTTCACCTCCTATCGGTGGCTCCTTGCTTCTGTGCAATGGGCACACTGTTTGCAGTGTGTAAAGCATGAGGAGGGGCAGCAAGACAGTGGGTGACAAAAAGCAAACCTGGAGAACTGGTTTACAGGTAACGTTTAACTAGTGCACTGCCAGTAACTGCTGACCCGTACCTCCGATGCATCCACTTTCTTCTGAGTCTCTGGAAACTCTGCACTGGAACGACGAACAATTTGAGGAATCTGTCCATTCGCCTGAACAGCACCTGTGACAAGGAGAGGAGACAGAGGCAAGAGAGTGTTAAATTTTTGTGATATTAACCAGGTCAGGGAATAGCAAACTAAGAATAAGGCTATAAAAACGTCCTTGCAACTTCCACCGAGGAAGCACTCGTTACAGGTTTTATACATAATTCAGTAAAATCCACGAGGATATCTGTTTTCTACTTCAGGCTTGTTTTGTGACTTTTCATATTCAGTTCATTACATAAGGAAAATAAACATAATACCTTACATTAAAACTAATACCTGTCCACATGTCTCCATGGCTGTAGCTGACAATCCTACAGGAAGTGCAAGTGGCAGAATTATGAAGACATATGACAGAAATTATCAGTGTGTGTAAAGGTGGTGACAAACGAATAGCTTTTTCTTCTGACTATTGTAAATGGTGATTTCAGAAGGGGACCGTTAAGGTTGACATGGGAATAGAGGTGGGGAGCTGGCTTTGGCAGGGGAGCTAAGAAGAAATCAAACTGGCACAGTTAAGCCCACCCTCTGGCCTTCCATTGTTTAAATACCCGTCTTTCATAACAGCATTTAAGTTTGTAGTGTGCTGTAGTATTACTACATTCTCAGTTTTTATTGCATGTTTTTTTCCTTTACTTTAGCCTAAAGACTGAAAGCACCACAGTTTCATATCAGTAACAGTCATGAGAACTGAAGGTTTGAAACCCTACAGAGGGGCTGATCCATTTTCTTTAGTAAATGAGCTAACAGCTCTGAAATTTCTCCACAATCTGGAATCATGGAAGATTTGTGAACCTCACTGTATTCTCAGATTAGTGAAGATCTGCTAGCTGGTTAAGTTACAGCTCTGCAAAACATTTGCCCACCACTACTGTGTTTGTAAGGGATATACATAAATAATCCAGTACTGTCACATGGAGTAAATGAATGTGAGATCAAAGGACAAATTTGTGGGTTTAATTAGGATAAAATCCCCAGCCCCTGTATAGTCTGATGAGGATTAAATAAACTCTCCAGTTTAGTCTAGGGTTTTTGGAAGCTGTACATGTCAAAGTAGTTGATAGTGTTTGATGCCTAGATACATACATTTGTAAACCTTACTGACTGCCTTAGCTCTATTATAATTTACAGTTCTGAGATCCAGTAAAGTTCCACTCATGTACTTCTTGGGTGCCAGTGAAACCTTAGCTGTCTACAATATAAGTCTAAGCACAAAGATGGTTGTAATCTTAACCTGTACTTTTCTGTTTAGCAAAGAGGTTCCATGAAGATTATAACAAATAGAATAAATTATTTTTATTGCCATGCCTGCACATCACACAACTGATGGAGAAGTAAGACAAACTCTGCAGTGTACTGAATTTACTAGGGCTATTTAGGCTTCAAGGGATGACAGAAGATGGTCTGAAGTCCTAGTGTTTTATGCCTGTGCCTGCATGTCGTTCAGCATATTTAACCCAAAGTAATGTTTTGATCATTCAAATTACAGTCTGTGTTTGTTGAAGGACTAACATGGAAGTTCAATGAAGAGATAAGACCAATCTTGTGGCTGTAAGGGCTCAGTGGAGAGAGATGTAAATCCCTGGGTTCTGTGGCCATGCCCTCAAGTGGAGCAAGTTATTGTCTCTCCTCACTTTGTCTGCTGCCCATAGCAGAGCAGGAGTTTGGGCTTCACACTGCTCAAAGACGTTGCTGCCCTCAGTCATGCTGAGATTTAACTAACTGAAAGAGAGCAGAGAGAGATCCACTCTATGTAGTGCAAGGTATAGTGGTCTACTTGGCAAACATGATATACCAGAAAGTTGGGACATGGCTAAATGGTAATCTGTTTCTTCTTCTGTTAACGGATTTCATAAACTATGCAAGACTTGAAAGCAACATTTGATATATCAATTCCTGCCACATACCTGCACATATGCTATACACAAAATCAAGCCAGCTAAAGGACCCCCAGTCAATCCAACATGTGAGTTCATGCATTCTATTCTCAAGATTTATTTTTAATTTAAATGTTATAGTAGTCTTTCCAAGTCAATTGCTCCAAAATTTTATATTAAATTAATATTTTTTTAAGCACAAAAAAAGTAGTCCAAGTATAATGCAAAATATAGATACCCAAAACATATAATGCAAAATATTGAACCTTGTAGTGATATGGAACATCTGAATAAAGCAACATCCTTCATCTTTCAAACATCACGATACTGGGCTGGCACACAACATACACTGGTTTTTTTAGTGTCCAAAGACACACATAGTGAGGCAGAGGGGCAAACAATGTATTTTGCCTGAGATGCGCCTAGCACTTGGGACACTTCAGAACCACAGTGGGGGGGTATACGCGAACACACAAATGTAGGCTACAGCAGCGTGACCAGAGAATACAGGCTACATGAGATGTGAGAAAAGAAGTTCCACCTGCCTTCCTGAGCGTTGCTTTTGGCTGCCACTGAAAATAGAGTACAGCCCCCTGCTAAGCTCACACAGGACGGTAGTTTTCTATAGCAGATTTTAGCTTATACTGAAGTCGGCCCATAAAAATAGCTATACAGCCATTTGAAAACAGAACAGAAGAAAACAGGCTATGTTCCATTTCCAAAACATGAGCCAACAACTGCTCACAGTCAGGCAGTTCAGGTTATAGTATTATAGTCAGGCCCCAAGTTTTATATAGGGCAGTAACGATAACTGTAAGAACAGCAAGAATCACAGTGACTTGCCTCAATTAGAAGGCTAATGATCCTTCAGAGATATTTCCATAGAGACAACACACATGACTAAAATCTTTCCAGGCTACTTAACCATTTAATGGGATCCATTAGTTAAGATTAACAGTGTATTTTATGATCACATGCAGTGTTCCTGGATTCTGGTCAGGAGCTGAAGTTATACAGATGTATATATACTTTATAAGGCCTCGATCCTGCCGATACCCAGTACAGACTGCAGCACCAGCATGAAGCCCTCCTGGCCAGTCACCTCTCTACTGCCATCAACACCAGAACACAAAATGCTCCATGACTGTCCCATCCACCATCGCTGAAGTACCCCCACGCACAACTATCAGAAAATCCCCTGATCTTGAAACAGCCTCCCCACCCCAAGTGTGCATTTATTACCATTATTTGATTCCAAGGAATAGTAGAAAGACCACCCTCTTCTCACATGTACTGAGAAAAGGCAAACTGAAGCCTTGGAAGGTGTTTGGAGGATTTTGAGTTGTCTATGTGGTAAGTCAGAATACTAACTGCCAACGCTGATTTTGACTTTGCCTGGCTTATGACAGTAGGTACTTGGCCAGCATGTCCTTCCTCATAAATAAAGCATATCTTAAGCATGTAAACTGAAAACATTCATGCAAGTTGCAGCTAGCATCATACACTGTTATATCTGTACAATGATAAAATAGGTAACAGCAGTATGATGAAGCTACTGGAAAAGTAAAGCTAGAAAATAATGACAGAAGAGGGCAATAAATGTGATTTCAGCTGCTGCAACAGCATTGGTACCTGCTGATAAGGATCCTGTGGGGGCAGCTGGTTCCACTGTTCCTTGATTTGCCCACCGAGAGGACAAGCCAGCTTTCTTCACTGCGCATTTGTAATTATCATATAGTGTCTTGCCATACTGTAAAACAATTAAAACAATACAATAAGCATGGTGTTAAGCTTGACATAGGCCAAGCATTCATTTTGCTCTTGGACAACTTTTCTGACCCCATTCCTTCATACCCAGTTTTGTTAAAAAGTAGCTTTCTACAAGTGATGTGCCTATTTCTGTATAGGGCCAGATGGAAAGCACCTCAGTAACAGCACAATAAAACATGAATCCCCGTAACCAAACACAGTCCTACTGATAGCATTCTCACATTTTATGTTCATTTCAGTATCTGTAAACATCTTGAAACTTGGCTTTAAAACCAACTGTTCTCAATAAATATCTTTTTCTAATGCTTTCCAAGTACTAAATTTTCAGACTGGAGACTTGGGACACTGAATCCTTGGCTCTAGAGCAAACAGCTCTGTCAGTGTAAGACACAAAATAATTCCATGTTCACCCCACACCTTTGTTGGATGTCACTCTGCAGTAGAACTGGCAGAAAAGAATATACACCTAACAGGAGCAGGTCTGTATAGCCAGGTACAGCCAGTACACTGGGCTGCGTATAAATCCACCTCCCTTAATGTTTTGTGCAAAACAAAATGGGCTGTAAATTAGGATCTTTTTGAAGAGGGTGAGGCAGACAATGTGGGCAGAACTGTCTGAAAAATGTCACAGCTGGACTGACCAGAGCTTGCGCATCTTTAGCCAACAGCGTGTTATTATTGTGCCAGATAACTGTGGAGTAAGTTTTATGACTACGTGAGTTTTATAGCTACAGAATTCACCCCCCATGTTAATGAGAAAAACACACTGATAACTAGGGTACAGGACCATTCAGCAAATCCATCCGGGTCATGCCCTTCTGATCTTTCTTTCTACAGTAACATTAGCATGAATGTCCATTCTTGTCACAGTATTTCCAGACAGTCAGTAACCTGAGGAAGACAGGATTTTACAGAAAACATATTTAACTAAATTTACTTTTAATCTCACCTTGGCAATTCTTATTCCTGTTACCCACTGATGCAGGGTTGCTTGATCATCACAGCATAAGTACTTGATATATTGTGACTCCTTTTGAATCTGGGGGTGCTGAAAGATATTAATTCATAAAATAAGACAAACACAGAAATCAAATCAGTACACAAAAGTATGAAGGCACCGCAGAGTGACCTTGGCGAGAACACTGCCTATAGGCATCATGTTAACATGAAGACGATTTAAAAACAAAAAAAAGCTGCAAAATCAGAGTATAAGAAAATATAAAAAGATGGTGATTATGAACCATACATGAGTTGCCACTGGCAGAATTTGCTTGAAATAATTTTAATGCATTGTAATATGAATCCAAGGGCTACAGAAATCTAATACTGATCTAGAGTTCAATGAAGTCTACAAATGCTACGGTTCAAGGTCTAACACTCAACGTATAAACACTGGAAGGAAGTCTGTTTCTCATTGTGGTTTGTCATATGTAAGGCATCCAGACTGAATGCTGAACATGATTAGTTTTCAAAGAGTATGTTAAATTTGTTTAAGCATGAACTCCCAGCTGAAACAGATTTTTCATTCTAACTGCCTTTCTTTGGGCCGAGTTCTAGCTTTCTTCCTATACATTTTTATTCTGCTTTACTCTTGCTGTTGTTTGCCAACAGTTATGTAGAACTGCCACATGTTCTAGATAGAGGATCATTCAAAATGCAACACCATCAGAAGTAATCTCTTTCATTTGTTTGTACCAGAAACCTTTACAATTTTTAAACCTTTTTTGTTCTTTTGGTCAAAATTTTGGATCTCTTCCCCTTACTGTAGGTCAATGTAGTACTGGTATGTGGTGACATACCATTGCAACTCAGAGATCACCAAAACACCAGGCTGGCTACTTGCCTGAGACTGAACATCCTCTCTAAGACTCCGAAGGAATTTGGTTCCCCTGCTACAGCAGAGAAGGCTGTAAGTTTTTAGTAGCTTGGATGGAATAATATACTGCCATCTCTTGATATGCAAGGAAAAGAAGGAAACCAAAGGAAAAGGCTTCATTATCCCTCATTTATGTGTTCATTTCTATTTATATTTTTATGAATTACAGGTCCACAGTTAGGGAAATATTGTGAATGCACAAAAGAGCAGCCAAATCTGCTCCAAGGATTCACTATTGTCAAACCACTCTCTTTTCAGCCTGCACAGTTGAAAATTCGAAGCGTATCTCCACCTAGCAGCAAGGACCCTCGTTTTATACATATTGCTAAGCCCCCAAAGCAAAGCAGTGCTGGATTTGGGGAACTCAGAAGGATCCCTTGGAGCGCAGAGTGCTGTGAGCAGCCTGCCAGCCCAGGGCTGATGGAGGTGCCAGATGTGTCCTCGCAGATGCCTGCTGGTGGCTAGGACGTCCCCAGCACGGAGGCCAAACCCTGGCCACAGCTGGGTGATCCAGGGGTTCAAAAGCAGAGCTGAATACAGAGGTCTTGCTCCTCAGCCACATGTCCCTGCTACCCCCTCAGCGCTGCAGACACCAGGCCTCCCTTGTTTGTGCTGAACCAACTGTTTATGAGGCCACATTGTGATTCAGAAAAAAAAAAAAAGGAACTGGTCTAGGTTAAATATAACCCATTTCATCATGCTGTAGTTTTGGTTTATTTTTTTTAAACCCAGCAGTACACCGCATGGCCTCACATACAGCATGGGGATAAGGGGCACTGTGGCTTGGGGAGAGAACAAGTAGCAAGGGATGGATGAAAGGATGGGACCGCACAAGCCAGTATTGCTGCCAAAGCCCTGTATCATCAAATTACAGAGCAAGAGTGAACACACCAGGGAGATAACTGTGAGGAAGAAAAATCCAAAGGGCTATAACTTGAGGGGTCTCACAGTGACAGATGTGTCCCAAGGCAACGCTGTGGGTAACTGCGTTACAGCTCCCTGCGTGTTTGAACTCAGCTGCTCACACAGGTCAGACTGTTCACCATTTTTCTGCAAACACATCTCCCTGGCCATCTCCCCTGAACGATGAATACGCAGTCTGCTTCAGCCCTCTGAAAGGGCCCATGGCTACCTTATTCTATTACCTCGCTCTTGGGCACTCCCAAGATGAGAGCTAGGGGCATCTCACATTGCAAGCCCACAGATGCCAGCTCACTGTTACCAGGTGCCTTAACTGCAGAGCAGGCACCATGCCCATCCCGTGGACCTGTGCCTCGCCCACCTGGTACACTCACACACCACCCCTTCACACGGTTCAATGTACAGGGCTGTATCTTGCTGCTATACACCTGTGCCACATATTGAACAGAGGCAGTAGCCAGGGCCCCTGGACAAACAGCTTTCTCCAGCTCCCAGCGTCTGCCTGTCTGTGCCTCCAGCAGCCTTAGACAGCCTGAATGCTGCTCAGAGTGGGCTCCGCTACTGCAATGCGTGGCCAGGACACAATGCCTGACAATCCTTATTTCCTTCCACCATTTCTCCATTATGTGACCAAACACAGTGAAAACCATATAGAGAATTCAGTCTGAATGGTATCTTTAAAAGGGAACTGTAAGCAGGCATGACTCTGTGTGGCAGAGTACATCCCATAGACCTAGGTTCCGTTATCATCAACGGAGCCAAAAGAACCAGGAGGTGGAAACAAAGACACTGCAACCCTGGGTAAATTAAATTCTTCAAGCACTTTTAAATGAGCAACTAGCAATTTTGCTCCAGTGTGTAAGGTTCTACTGAACCCAGCAGATGGCACCCAAAGCTTTCAAAACTGAAAAAAGCAAGGATTTTTTTTTCCCCTCCTTTTTCATGACAATGAAGTCCAATGGGTCTACGTATCTCCCCTCATTTTCAAACACCACACCTACCAACAGTTCCTTATTACAAGAAAAAAAAAAAAAAAAGACTTCTATAATTTAACAGATAATTCATGCAAACATCTGGAAGAAAGTGCACACTGCATAAACAAGGCAGAGGAGGACATGGCATAGAGCAAGCTAGGTAATGGTGCTGCACATAGACACAGCCCTGCCACGGGGACCTGGTGCTGGGGAGCTCAGAGGGGCTGCTGCAGACCTCTCTTCTGGGGCACCCCACAGAAATACCAGTTTCACAAGAACACCCATACTGTGTCAGATCAAAGGTCCCTGAACCCAGTACCTGGACTTTGACAGTGGCCACAAATGGACACCAAGGGAAGAGAAAGAACAAGACAAGCATATATGATACTTCCTTCTCTGTACTTTCCTTGTCTGCAACTATTTTCAGGTCAGGGGATTTTCTGAGCCAGATGGGGTTTCTCCATATTTAGGTTCTTCAGTGGACTTCTCCTCCAGGTACTTCTTCAGCTTTTTATTGCGCCCAGAGAGAGTTATGGCACCCACATCATCTTTTAGCAACAATTCTCCCAGGTCTGCTACACACTCTATGAAGAACCACCTCCTTTTGCTCTGAACCTGACTGCTGCTAGGCTTTGTGTAACGTTCTTGTTTTGGAAGAGCCACTGAATGGCTGACCCCTATCCACACCTCTCCATGCCACTCCTGAGCGTAGAGATCTGCACCATATTCCTGGCAAGTTGTCTCTTTTCCAGCCTACAGGCTTCTAGTCTCTGCAGTCATTCTTCAAGTCAAAGTTGTTCCTTACCTTTGTTTATCCTTGTTGCTCCTTCTTGATCCTTTTCCAAGTTTATTATATCCTCTTTGAGATGAGAGGACCAGAACTGCAGAGATGAGGGGAAATCATGGACTTGTGCCATGGTATGGCAACACTTGCTGTTTTATCATCTATGCCTTTCCTAATCATTCCTAATGCTTGATTTACACATCTGACCACTACTGAGCACTGAAACAAAGCTTTCATCAAGTTATATACCATATCAGCATCTTGCTCCTGAATGGCATAGGTCAGTTCAAAGTTAGTAATTTCACAGGTGAAGTTCTGATTGCTATGCACATTACTGTGTGTATACCGAGACTGTATGTTATTTATGATTTTATTGTCCAGAACCTCAGCCTCACAAGGGCCTTCCAGAATTCTTCAGTCTGCTCTTTCCTCAATGATTTGAATAATGTAGCATCACTGGCAAGCTTCCTCACCTCACTGCTTACCCTGTCTATGACTATTTTGAGACTGTGGGGTTCTCACCATCCTGAGAAGTTGAGAGGGAACCGTCAGTGAACAAGGTTAGAGTGTCCCGTGCCAGACAACGTGGGAGTTATCTATTGCCTACCCTCTACCCTATCTTTTACTAGCTATTGTCTCCACTGGGCAATCCATCTTAACTACTGACATTCACCAGTGGGGCCTATTCCAAATTACCCCAATCGGTTCCTTGATTAAATTACTCCAATCAATCAGCAACCATGATTAAATGCAGAGTCACAAGTATATTCTGTCAATTAGGGTCCAAACTAGCAAGCTGCTGAACACCCAGCTCTCATGAGGAAGGCGAAGCACCTCAAAGCCATGCAGGCAGTCTGTATCTTCGCTTCGTAACAGCTGAGAACTGTATTGTCTCTCACTTTCTGAGAAGCGGCAGCAGCAGCACTGGTTCTCTTTAATTTACCAATGACACATAAAACGTAACTGTACTGGACCCATAGCCCACTGAGACTGACTGGAAATATCCCCATTGCCTTTCCTGGGCTTTGGATCAGGTCTAAGGACTGTTGCATGCTGCCAGCGCAGAAGCTGCCTACTGCAGCTGTGTGCAAGGCCAGACCACGGGACCACACACCAGCAGCACCAAGCTTAATACTGAAGGTTTATACCTGTAAAAGATTATTAGAAAGTGGCCCAGATGGAGGCATTTGGCTTCCTCTGGTTTTTAGATGCACAAAGCATGCTACTTTGGACAGGAAGGCATAACGTTCCAGACAAAAACTGTCACACCCCACCCCAGCAGCTTGCTCACTTGTGAAGAAGTGTACCGTAGTGAAATTACTTTGGCAGTACAAATGGCAGAAGTCTCTGCTGTCGACAGTGACCTTTACAAGCTTGACTCTCCACTAAAAACTTCAGGTCACGTGCAAAATCTATTAGATAGTACATAAAAATGCTGACTCAGGATAATCAATTCAGAGAAGAATCTGGAGAGCTGAAAGTCCCTGGAAATG